TCTTCAACTTCATCCGAGATGTAAAAAACTTAACATGTCTCACATATGCTTTGTGGATTATTTATTGATAATTTGTAAAGCTGAGGTAAAATCAATACAACTGTTCCACGGACCTTTACTAAGTTCTCAGATGCTTTTGGTTTGTAGACAAATTGTGACAAGAGCTCTGTTTACTTTTCAGGGGTAAAACTAAATGTTAAACATGAGATTCTAAGGCACTTAGGCTATAATGAAGGTAGTTTACCCTTTAAGTATTTGGGCATCCCTTTGTCTTCAAAAAAGCTTACAATCAGTGAATGTATGCCGGTAGTAGATAGAGTTACAAAAAGAGTGAAATGTTGGACTTCCAAAGTGCTTACTTATGCTGGAAGATTACAATTAATTAAGTCTGTGGTGTTTGGTATGCAAACATATTGGACCCAAATGTTTATTCTCCCTAAGAAGATTATGAAACTAATTGAGCAAGTTTATAGAACTTACTTATGGACACGATCCATTAGAAACTCCAAAAGAGCTTTGATTTCTTGGGAAAATGTGTGTCAACCTAGGGGTGCAGGGGGCTGAATGTCTTACATTTGAGTTGCTGGAACAAGGCAACAATATTAAAGCAATTATGGGCTTTAGTTTCAAAGAAGAACTGTTTATAGGTTAAACGTGTACACATATACTATATACTTTGGCTATCACCTCTATTCAGGGCAGCCTTGGTGATAGGCTGGAAAAAATGGTTCACTACAACAAGTTCAACATCAAATGTATGTATGCAACGTAACGTTTAGACCACAATACTCCAAAGTACAATGAAAGAGTTTGATATCTCACTCTGCAATCCATCCACATCACAAGTTTTGCTTATGGCTAGCCCTACACCAGATATTTCCAACTGTTGACAGACTGCAAAAGTTTGGTATTGATGTTCCTGGTGCTTGTGTGTTCTGTGCAGCTTCTGTGGAAAATCTGTCTCACTTATTGTTTGACTGCCCAACTACTAATTTACTGTGAAGTAGAATGTTAAAATAGACAAGTGAACATAGGCCTATTGGTTGCTGGCAGAAAGAGGTGGCTCATGCAGTAGGCAGGGCTAAGAAATGCTTTGGGAAATGAGGCATACTCAACAACTTATTTGCGATGGTGGTTAATATGATGTGGAAGGAAAGAAACTTGTTGCGATTTCAGGGTGATCAATTCCAAATTGATAAAGTATCAAGAGAGATTGCAATCTACACACACAAGAGGGGCAAGACAGAAGAAGTGACAAGTTTACCTTCAATAGTTAAACCATATGCCTTGAGTCAAAACTATAGTTCTTTTCTTGCTTGGTTTGAATTGTTTAGTTAGATTCAAATCGTAGCTAATTGTTTAGCACCACACTGTTTTTTGTGTTTTTCCCTCTAGTGTCGAACTAGGCTGTAGAGTAGTGAGAAAGAGGTGTCTATTCCTTCAGCATTATGACGTTGCAATTTTGATAATCAATAATATTTGTTTATTTCCCAAAAAAATAATCCACTAATTATCCATTAAGACAATACATTCACATCATCACACGATTGACGATACAAATGATTTAGTATAAATTATAGGAACCACATATTATAAGTACTAAATACATTCCTATCCCTTTTAGTTTTCTATTTACCAAAAATCCCTTAAAAATGATGTTTGCGGGATACATAGCGTTGTGCACGGAATACATTAGGTTTGATACATTCCACATAGCGGGATACATAGCGTTGTGCACGGGATACATTAGATTTGATACATTCCACATAGCGGGATACATAGCGTTGTGCATGGGATACATGTGGGATACATAACGTTTGATACATTCCACATAGCGAGATACATAGCGTTGTGCACGGGATACATACGGGATACATAGGTAAAATAAGAGATTTTTGAAATTTTTGAAATAAGTAGGGATAAATGGATATTAAGGTAAGTAAAGGAGTGTAGTTAAGTAATTTGTCCAATAATGTATTCACTTTGAACACAAATCTATTTTTACAAAATTTAAAATGATACATTTTTTTAAACAAAATATAAACTTACAGATCAATTTCAAACGTTGATTTGAAATTGAAATCATTATATGAAATTGCACATCCAATCACAAGCAAACACTATCAATTGTTAATTTCATGGCTCAAATTCTTGATTAATAAATTATAAAAGGAAAAATTGCTCAAGTCAAATATTAGCTATGTATTTAATGAAAACAACTATATTTTAAAAAATTACAATAAAACACTACATGTTGATTATTACTATAGTAGATACTAGATGCCATGTTTATAATCCAATTCCTAAATAAAGTCAATTTTCAATCTCCTCAACCCCCCTCTCTCTGTTGCCGCGCTTCTCTTTTAATTTCTTTTTAATATCCCAATTAGATTTTATTATTCAAAATCAAAATTTCATTGAATTAGGTATCCACCTGTGTATGTATTCATTGAAGTAATCTCGGTATTCTTTAAATTTGTTCTGTATTTTTGTATCTATCCATATCGTATACTCTCAATCCTTTGTATTTGAGGTTTAGTGAGGGAGGAGAGATTTTTGTATCTATCCTTATCGTATACTCGCAATCCTTTGTATTCGAGATCGGAAGAGGGAGAAGAGTGGATGAATACAATTGTATTTGGTGTATTTTGATTACAATTGATACAAAATAAAAAATAGTTATGCATTAAATAAATACAAAATACAACGCAAAATAAATATAAAATACAATCCTCTCTCATTCTCACTCGCCTCTCTCCTCCCTCTCCCGATCTCGCTTCCCTCTTTCCTCCTCATATGTATTCATTTTGATACAAATTAGTTTATATTTGTATTTTCGCAAAAAAGTACAACTAATACAAATGCAGAGCAAACCAAAATATAACTGTGAATTGTAATTAGTGAAACTGTAGCTAGAAATCCTATTTAAGACCTAATATTTGTTATTTTTTGAAAGTTTCTCATTTTAAAATGACATTTTTACCCTTGTTAAGCAGATGCCCCCCACCAAGAAAAATAAAAAAGATTCGAGGCCCAATCGGGTCCAGAGTATCAGAATTAGGGTCTCACACATCTGGCCTTGTCTATTTAAACTGATATTCACCTCTCTGCTTTCATTCATCCCCGCCTTCTTCTGTGCCTCCTTGAAAATTTTACGTAGTGTTTAATAGTACCTTGTTAGGGTTTTTCAAGTTTGATTTTTGAATTTGTAGCTAATTTGTATCGATGAGGAAGACATCCCAGGAATAGGAAGTGCCGTATGACACTTTAAACAGCAGCGGCGGCGCAGTTTCCACTCTCGTTCCCATCCACCGTTGATCGGATTCTATCCAGTCTCCGTTCAATGGTCGGGATCTGTGGCATTCTGCTCCGCCGTTGTGTGTGTGATTTGTAACGGGTCTCTGAGGTTTCATCCATTTTTAAATTATTTATAGTCTTATCGGTCCGATGCCACGTCGACGGTAGCAAAATGCGATGACCGAAGATGCTATGATTGGACGAATAACAAGTTTTAATTAACGTTTCGCATTCTGATAGGAATCTGTGTATGGATTTTTCAGTTCCTTCACGGAGCCGTTTCGTGCGTTTACATCCCGTTTCAAATTTATTTCTTTTGAAAACAAATACTATTTTTGAAGCCAATGATGATTTTTATATAAATATTTGGAATTACCGTCTGAACATTATTGATGTGTGATTGACTATCTGAGGCTTCACTATTAAAACTCTGCTTTATTTTGATATATTAGTAATTTTTTGAGGTGTATTATTTCTTGCATCACTACATGATTTTGTCAAATAACGAATTTTGTTCAATGCGCTGCCACTTCTAATGCCTATTTTATTTTCAGAATAATTCTTTGGTTCAATTTACTGCAATTTCTAATTCCTATTCAGCCTCACTCTAGTATCTATTGGAAGGATTTATGGAGGAGACAAATTGGCAAAATGGGGAGTCACAGGGATTAAAAGACGTTCATTAGGCTAAACTGACAAGGAATTAATAGGAGGTCCATAAGGCTAAACATCCTTCCTATGGCAAGTGGCCGAGTGGGAGTCATAATCAAACATGTGGCCTGGTTGGTGGACTTAGTTATAAAAAAATAAAGTCACGCCTTTACTATGATAAGCTATAATTTTTGACATGATGATAAAGGTTTAGTGAAGAACTTAGTTAGGACTTAGGAGTGTCTGTTAAAGCTCAGCTATACAGAATGGAGTTAACTAAAAATGAGTTTGATTTGGCGAAAAAGAAACTACAAAATCTTTCATATGAAAGGGGATTAAAGAGTTGAACAGATTGCAAGTTCATTGTTATGGACTAAAGTTTGTTCATCTAGCTCGAGGACTAGGAAAATTGAATTAGTACCCATAGAAAGATTCTTGTAATTAGGATCAAGCGCTTATCATTATGCCAATAAAGGCATAACTTTATTTTCTTAACTAAGTCCATCAAGAAAGCTTCATGTTCGATGATGATTCCAATTTAATCGGGCCACCCAGGCAGAATGTTGACGTTATTCAACATATGTGTAGTAGAAGTAACTGAGAAACTGTGTTGATAAGGGCAAATACCATTTAGTAGGTTTTATTTTATTGGAGTAACATTTTAATATTAAAGTTGCTTCATCTTGACATAACAATATTTGTGAATTGCCAATGTGTGCTGCCGACTGCCGAGCTTTTCCATTTCCTTTTGTGTCCGTTGGAGGACTTTAGCATCATAGTAGCCCCTTGTTAGCTTTTTTCATGTTTGATTTGTTGAATTTGTAGCTAATTTGCATCGATGAGGAAGACATCCCAGGAATATGAAGTGCCGTATGACACTTTAAACAGCAGCGGCGGCGCTGTTTCTACCTTCATTCCCATTCACCGTTGATCGGATTCTATCCAGTCTCCGTTCAATGGTCGGGATCTGTGGCATTCTGCTCCGCCGTTGTGTGTGATTTGTAACGGGTCTCTGAGGTTTCATCCATTTTTAAATTATTTATACTCTTATCAGTCCGATGCCACGTCGACGGTAGCAAAATGCTATGATTGGACAAATAACAAGTTTTAATTAACGCTTCGCATTCTGATAGGAATCTGTGTATGGATCTTTTCAATTAGCCGTTTCGTGCGATTACATTTTTTCAAATTTATTTCTGTAGTAAACAAATATATTTGACCACTCATTCGGTAAATCAACTATTTTTCATTAGATTCATATATATCACCATTAAAACAAAAGAAAATTTTAACTTTCCACAATTGCCATAAAATAGACACACCTAATCTCAGTAACTTAATGGAATCAGGGTATTGATATGTATTGCGAAACAAAGCATGCCGAAATCAATAGTATTGTCTAAATTGGACAGTAGATACTTCTTGATAGGACACAATTTCCGCACTAATTGAGCTTTCGGACACTACAAAATACTCCATCTATTTGAAAAAGGTACAACTTTTTGAAAATCTTAAATTTTTAATAATTCACTTCATAATTAATAAGATTAAAATAGTAAACTCCCTATGTGAATAATTATTTTCTTAATAGGTGTGTGTCAATTCAAAAGTGGACAAATAATTAGGGACAAAAGGAGTATATGATTAACTGTTTCTAATTCTATAAACATTTAAAATGCATCTCATAAAAAAAGGTGTTTTTCAACTGAATTGAGGTGTATTAGTTCTCGCATCACTGCAACGAATTAGATCTTTGGCTAAAAAGATAACCAGATCTAACCTCATACTTACATGATTTTGTCAAATAATCAATTTTTTGTTCAATTCTCTGCCACTTCTAATGCCTATTTTATTTTCAGAACAATTTTTTGGTTCAATTCACTGCAACTTCTAATGCCTATTCAGCCTCACTCTAGTTGACAAAATGGGGAGTCACAGAGTAATATTAATAGACGTGCATTAGGCTAAACTGAGTATTTGATTTGGCAAAAGAGAACTACTACAGAATCTTTCATGGAAAGGGGGGGAATTACAGAGGAATTGAACAGATTTGTAATTAGGATCAAACACTTACCATTAAGTCAATAAAGCTCCATATTCGATCATGACTCCAATCCAATCGGCCCATCCCAACTCTTTCGTGAATCTTGTAACTATAGGAAGAATGTTGGCGTTATTCAACATACGTGTAGTAGAAGTTATTTGAGAAACTGTGTTAATAAGGGCAATACCATTTTGTAGGTTCTATTTTGTTGGAGTAACATTTTAATATCAGAATAATATTAAAGTTGCTTCATATTGACATACCAATATTTGGGAATTGCCAATATGTGCTGCTGACTGCTAAGCTTCTCCATTTCCTTTTGTCTCCGTTGCAGGACTTTAGATCATCATAGTAGCTTATTATTTTTCATTGGTAATCCTTTAACTTCTAAATCATTATTTACTCATTATTTTACCTAATTATTCTTGTAATTCAGGTAACCTCTAGGGCTATTTATCTACGCTATTAACTACTACATTATCTTCCTATTCATTGCAAGAAAGAATACTTCATTTATAAATAGTGAGTCTTACTTTGTGTTGAGATGAGAGAAATAATGTAAAAATGTCACGACCCAATCCACCGGGCAGTGCGGGAACCTACACACTAACATCTAAGTAGGAGAACCCTCATATCCCAATAGTTAAAACATGCGGACGATTAATGAAAAATGGAGATAAAAGAAATCATAGGGTTTTCACAAGTAAAACTTTTAAACAATTTTGGGTTAAAATTTGTAAAGTAACTAACAACCCCAAGAATCTAGTCTAAACAGGTACAAGAGCTACTAAGAGTAAAAACTGGACATAATAATAAAAGACACGACTCCTACCATGTGGAAGGAAAAGTAGAAGCTGCTGGAGAATTCTTCATCTTCAGCTGATGAAACATCACCAACCTGCATCCAGACTATGTCAAAAAGACATAGCAAGAGTAGTATTAGTACAAACCACACGTACTTGTAGGCATCATCGGTCAACCCGACGCCCACAACATAACATAAGAAAACAACAAGCAAGAACATGCAATAAACCACTCGCTTCTCCACCTTTACCCTCTCTTGAAAACCTCAGAATTACACTAGTACTCTAACTACTAACCACCCTCTCGGTCAACCTACTTACTAGGTTCTTGATCATAGCCTAACCATTCTAACACATAGAAAAGTCCCCAAATACAACTACAAGCATTCCAACTAACCGCTCACGTCATACCCTTACTTCCTCTTCATATTACCCAACCATGGCCACGTAGTACATTACGTCAAGCTTTCTAACCACTAAACACAAATCCTTTTCTCCAAAATGAAATCCACCTAAGCACTTATAACACGTACACTACCCACACTCCTCGCCTTTACTCGGACATTAACAATTCTTGAACCGTTGACTCCCTACCTACCGTATCACATCCCAGTTGGGTTTGCCCATTCCGGTTCACTCAATATCAAGGTACATATCAAGTTTACTCAACATAGAAGAACAATCAAACATTAGTCCTCATAACCATATAACAACTCCGGGAAATACAATATCAATTATCATTACAAACAAGGTACAATTTCACAATCCTCAAGGCATACAATTATGTCAAATCATTGATCCTCTCAGGGAACCCAAACAGTTAGCATACCGAAACGTGGTACCCGATCCAATGATTATGTTGGAATGTGGCAACGGATCCCATAATTATGTTGGAATGTGACAACCGATCCAAGTTAGTGTGTCGAAACGCAACACCCGTCGACCTCTTTACGCTAGAAATCTCCTTCTCATTCCTTTCCAAGCTTAGAGCAGCTTACTGAAGGTTTCAAGGGTGTTTTACGACTAATTAGGTATTTTAGGAAAAATGAGGAAATATGGTTTCACGTTATTTACATTCTGTCTCGCCTATCCCTCCCTGGCGCCAACTTACCCTGCCCTGACGCAGCCGCCCTAGCGGCATTTGGCCCGCCTTGGCAGGACAGTGGCCCAGTATTTCTTGAAGTTTTGTTTTTACTAATTAACGATGGTTCGGGTCGTTACAAAAAAAAAAAAAAAAAGTTCATATGGAGTTTAGTGTAGTGAAAGAGATAGTCAAGACAAAAAAATATTCTAAGTCTTCAATTAAGAGCTTGTTTGACATTTCTGTTAAAAACAACTTATTTTTAGAAGTATTTTTTTAAAATGGCTTTTCAGAAAAAATGCTTTTGAAAAAACAATTTATGTTTGACCAATTCATTTGAGAAGTACTTTTCATAAGCAAATTGCATTTGACTAATTTTTTTAAAAAATTAATTTTGAGAGTTGAATTATAAAAAATACAACTATTAATGTACTTTTAATATTAATATTATTTTATAGAGAAAAACTATTTGAAATATCTGTTATTAAAAAATTAATTAATTTTTTTTATTAAATTAAAATGAACATATTTAAATTTTAAATCAATATTATACCTTTTTTGAGAGGCTAAAATCTTTATTTGTTTTTTGGGAGTCATTATTCATTCTAATATTAGTTTAGTAAATTTCTCAATAACTATATAAAGTATCAACAAAATTCATGGATTTTACCGAATTAGTACTTTTCATGCCAGTTTTACTCTCGGATAATGTAGATAAACTTACACTAAAGACCAATTTAAACACGCAATATGAAATCAGAATGATGTAAAATTGAAGTTTTAATTGAATATGCAGTTTAAATTTCTTAAGTTGTATATTTTTTTCTTAAACATGCAAATCACACATGTTGTGAAAACTATCAAATTTGTCCAATTCCTATATAGTCTTACCAAATGAGTGAACCATAGTTTATAAACAAAATACCAAAATATCCTAAGGTTCCACATTGACAAATTACATATCTCTCTATATATAAGAGAATCCTAGGTCCGCCTACGTGACACCACCACAAACCAGGATTCTCTTTTAATTTATTTATATATACATATATAAAAAAAAGAGAACCCTAGGCCCGTCTACGTAGTGCCACCACAAACCAGGATTCCCTTTTAATTTATTTATTACCAAAACTAGTCTTCTCCTTTCATGAAAAATTGTGACTTTTATGAAAAGTTGTGATTCTTATGAAAAGTTGCGACTTTTATGAAGAGTTGCGACTTATGAAAAGTTGTAACTTTTATGAAAAGTTGCGACTTAATGAAGAGTTGCGACTTTTATGAAAAATGGTGACTTTTATGAAAGGTTGTGCCCTTTCCGAAGGGTTGCAACCTTTTCAAATAGTTGTAACCATTCCGATAAGGCACAATTAACATTCGTTTACACTACCCTTTGTTGTCTATAAATAGAGGGATTTCATCTCATTTTAAAACAACGAAAATTTTGAACCTCTTCTTCTTCTTCTTCTGCACAATTAAATATTCGTGTATTTTGTTCATGTTGAGTGGCTCACTAACACCATTGCTTATGTTAGAGATCCTGGTATGTATTATTTTCCTTGTCATTTACATTATTAATGTTTGTTACTACGTAATCTTGTACTCCCTCCGTCCCATTTTATATGTCATCTCTTTCTATAAATAGTTGGTCCATAATACCTATCATTTCATAATATCAATGCATAAATTACCATATTGTTCCTTTTTTACTCTTGAGAGTTATTCGCCTTGGAAATATACATTTGACCAACTTAGAAAATCTAAGCAAATGATTCATGTTCATTGGTTAAATTAATTAATCAATATAAATTAATTCATATTTATTGATTGAAAACTTGAGTTCCAAAAAAATTAAATAAGGGTAGAAGAGTAAAGTTACATCATTTCTTAATACAAGTGCAAAGTAAAAATGTGACATATAAAATAAGACGGAGGGAGTTTGTAAGATAATATAGTGTTTTAGTTTTAATGACTTATAAATTTTAAATATTATTTTATAAATTTTGTGATATTAAATTTCCGCGCGAAGCGTGGATAAATTTACTAGTATACATACACTTGTAAAGATCCATTAGTTAACAATAGTAATAACTAATTATTCTTTAATATAATTCGTTCACATTATACAAACAATTTATTCATTCCGAACATGATTTTTTTTTAATTTGAAATTGAATACATAATTTTAATATCATATGAAATTGCACATCAAACAACAACTAGCAATTGCTAATTTCATTGCTCGGATTCGTGATTA